TTTCTCTCTATGGTTCCTTAGATGTGGCCTATGGGACTGTTCAATTATGAAAAGTTACCTAAGTGTAGTTTTACGTCATAAAAAAATGTATTGATAATTTGTTATGGCAATAAATAATGGTAGGCAGAAAATTCAAGTTACATTTGTTCCAAAAAGACTGGAGTTCTTTATTAATGAGCCCAAACTTTTGTAGTTAAAGTAGGATAGAAGGCAGAAGATGGCAGAAGCATTCTGCAATGTATAAAATTCATTTCAAGTCCAGTATCCAGATCCGAGAATAAGAAGCACATCAAGTTGATATCAGAGTGGGTGGTTATAGAGAATCTTTTTCCTTCCAGTGACAATTTGAATCCTTCCTGAAATTGTGCTAGGAGGATTGACCTTAAGACCATTTGAAAGGAAGCAAGATCAGGTTGCATTTTCCGTACAGCAATAAGAGTTGGTAGGAGGTTTAGATGGTTGTCATGTGGCTTCCTACATCATTAGAATTGAAGGAAAAGGTGGATTAAGGGAAGCAAGTGTGAATAAAGGAAGACAAGAAAGGAGGGGCTGATAACCATGATTTGCTCTTTATTCCAAATATATTTAAAACTTGGTTTTCAAGATATGATTGAACAGTGGACCTGTTAAGATGGCTGAAAGTGTGAGAACTTCCTTCAACATCAGAAGACTCCAGAAGAAGAGAAACTACGGCTGTTTACCTTCCATCTAGAAAGAGATGCAATTATGGTTTTTGAAGTTGAAAGGGATTGGCCAACCATCTCTTGAGAGGGTTTTAAACAGCAATTCAAATTGCAACCGGACTCTGATCAGGAGCAATAGGTTGGAGGAATTTGTGAAATTACAACTGCATTCCATGGAGGATTCTCAATGGCAATTTGAGAAACTAGAAGCCAGGGTTAGTTCTTTAACAAGTCCAAATATTCTGTTGGCTACAGGAGAATATTGAGGTGGAAATTGAACTACCCCAATCTCCCAATCTAAGCACCAACAAGAGTTTGGTGCGCCTATATGAGAGGAGACATCACCGTAGCACTCATGTTACCAATTTAAAGGAATCCACATTTGTCTGCCAAGACCTTGTCCTGTCATTAGGGGATTGTAAAATTATATTTGATGGCATAGTACGGCATTTTGAGAGAGATAAAACAATTACTATATTAGAGGATGGATTTTATTCACAAAACTTGAAGAAGATTGACCATGATAGGAAGACCCTGGAGTGAAAATACTTAAATATTGGAAAATAATTTGTATGCCATTAAGCTTATTAAGCTTATTCAGTAACAATTAAGTACAGACTTATCAACAACATATTTATTATCTCTTATTTAGTTACAATCCTACTTAGTTATTTTCCTATTTAGTATTTTAGACATAATAAGATAGAGACTTCATAACTATTTCAGTGCTGCTGTATTGTTTCAGCGCTGCTGTATTATTACACAGACTACTGTCATTACTCAGCATTAACAAGATTTTTGAGTTGATTCGAGATCTCTTGTTTTGCTCTGGCTATATGATGAAAGACAAATAGTGCTTTAAAAAAGCAGAAAATTTGACAAGAAAGCAAAATCATACCAGGGTCATCAAAGTAGCAACCAATACCAGTAGCAGATATGCCAACTGCATGAGCTTCTAAATACAGAACCTGGCCAAGAACTCCAGTCTCCCAAAACAGCCTAGGATACATCCAAGCACCCTTGTTTTGTAATGTAGGCTCAAAATGAGCCACCATACCCAGGCTGAAGCAGCCATCACCAGCAATATCCTGCACCGAGTATGCGATGTTTTAGCAAAAGCTTTCAAGATACATACCGTAAATACAGGCCTTCAGTAAGAAGCCATCTTTGTTTTTCATTCTTTAAAGCAAAGGTGTCAAACTCCAAATTGGACAGACTGATAAGCAAGATAATTCCTTTTTGCATGCACGATCAGTGATAATAACTGAAGAAATAACCTGATAATAGTATCACAACATCTTGACAAAAAAAAAATACAACTGCAACTATGAAATGTTATGGGACGGTTTATCAGTCAAATAATTAGTGGTTGAAAATAAAAATAATACAAAAAAAATAATTTGGGTATTACAAAAATATTTAAAAATTAATCATCAACTCTATCAAGTCACCAAAATCCTCCATAAAGGTATGCACAAATTAGAATAACCTTAAATGGAAAATCATGACTCAAGGCACCTACCGGCCATGAAAGATTATTGCAAGCAATTAAATATTTCTATGTTCATAATGCATATACTGGCGATAAAAACCTCCTCCATACATCACCGCCTTATATGTTTACTCATTGCAGGACAAACATGAATGTTGTAAGTATAAGAAGAATCAATACTAACTATTTATGAAAAAAAAATAATAATTCTAAACCGAAATCGAAAGAGAATCAATCTTCCATACCTTATTAGGATCGGTACATAACTAAATTAGGGTATCTAGGAGTAATCTTTATGCTTGCTACATCCATGATAAATTAGATCAACTTGCACTTTAACGATGAAATATCCTTATATAGTTATCAAATGAAATAGTTTGCCTTTGGTTAAATAGGTATATGTCTAACTAAAATTTCTTTAAAATCATCAATGAGATTCCATGA